CCTGCGATATCAGTTGACGCGTTGCATTTCATTGCATTTGCCGCAATTACAATGCAAATTTACTGAGAGAAAGACAGAGTGAGAGAGAGAGAGAGAGTGAGTGAGAGAGAGTGAAATGCAGATAGCCAGCAAAAGGAGACCGAATGAGAGCTACATTGATTTGCTGTCTGTTTGACAAAACCACACAATATTTAATTACATATCAAAATGCATTGTATGCCTAAATAGAATCAGCTCGAACCATGCACACACACACACACACATACACCTGTAACACCTGCTGTTATCGCTATATCCTAACGGTTTCATAGATAAACCGCACGCAGAGTCTAACACAAAATGTTGTATTATGACCAAACATGCAAAACAACCTCATTACCAGAGTTCACCCACACACACACACACACAAACACACACATGACGAGGGTACGCCATTGTTAACACACACACACACACCCATATAGGTGCACCTGCTAGTAGTCTCTCCATGTATGTGTGTGTGTTTGTGTGTGTGTCTACGGCTCTTTTCGTTGCTAACGAAATTATTGACAGCGTCGAGCGCGAACCTGTAAAAATGTACTCAAACCTCGAGCCTTACACGCGACCACAAACAGTGAACAACAAGTTGATGTGGTTAAGGTGCAGCAAGACGACTTTTAAATGCCCTAACTTTCATATTGAACTGAACTGAAAATAGCGAAGTTGAAATTGAAAGTCTATTTAGCTAAAAAGTCAAACTAAAATTAATATTTGGTCTTCTTTTTTCTGTGACTTGATTTGCCGAGTGACTAGAATCGCCTTATGTAGCTGGTTTTCCTCTGTTTCTACTCTTTCTTACATTCAAAAACTTTCTGAGTGAGGTTTGACGTTCCTATTTATGATTCGCAAACAGCTTACATTTGTAGATTTGATTTTCCTGAGGCTCACTTTACTGTTTCCTTTCGATGAGTCGCCCAAAGGCTTGATAATTGGTATTTCCTGTAAATAGCGGATCAAATTTTCCGATAGTTCTCTTTTTATTCCAATCAGCAACTTTCATAGAGCAGTTTACTGTTCCCACTCGTGATATGACTCAAGAATTGGCTTATGACTCGGGTTTTCCTGTAAATATTTAAGTTTAATGTTTATATACAAGATTTTCTAAAAGTTCTAGTTCGACTTGTTCCTGTGGCTCAGCTCCTTTTTCCCATGCACAGCTCTCGCTCCATGAATCTAGTCTATAAATGGTTCCGTTTACTGTTCCCATTTATAATTTTCCCAAAGGTAGATTTCGTATTGCTTCGGTTTAGTGTTCCTTATAATGTTTAACCTTTAGTTGCTCGGTTCAGCTTGGTTTCGTTTGGGTGCTCGATTATTTCTGAAGGCGTCTCGATTAGTTTCGTAATAGGTAAGCTAACAACTAGACTCAGCTTAGTTCAGTTCAATTCAACTTGATTCATCTCGGCTCAGCTCGAGCTAGTTAAGCTGGATTAGCTCTGTTCGGGTTGGTCGAGCTAATTTGAGCTTTGTTTAGCTTCATTTCAATTGCTTCGCCTGGGTTCAAGTTGGCTCAGTTTGGGGACCCAAGTTGTTTCTATGCTCTTCAAAGGAAAGGTTCACTTAGCGATTCTTTTTTCAGGCCAAGGACGGTTTGTGCATCAGTCAAGTATTTTATATGGACATTTAGAGATATCGATTCGACGTTTTTTCTGGGCCAACCTTAAATAGCTTTATCTGCAGTCATTCCATATCATCGATATACAGATTGAGCTGCAATATAATGTATATAATACTCTCAATAGCCACGACTCTGACTGACAATGCCATATACTCGGCTAGCAAGAGTGCTTGAATGCCGCCATCATCTATCTAATGAATGCAAATATAGCTACAATAAGTGTTATTACGAGCACACACACACACACACGCACACCCATGCATGTGTGTGTATATACATATATCAACTTACATGCGGGCAAAGTGAAATGGCGAAATTAATTTTCATGTTGCGCTACCTAAAAATAACGCGGCTTCATTAACGTCAGCAAAATGGTTGGGGCGAGGCTCTCTGCCGCCTCCTCGAATTGAGCCCGGGCAAAAGGTGAATGTAGAGGCGAAGGCATCATCATGTTTGGTCTATATTTATGCAGAGTTCAGCTCACCTCTGCTCATTAGAAGCGGCAGATAATGAGAAGTAGTTCCGATGGCGTTCAGCTTGAACTTGGGTAACTGAGAGCAAAGTCTGCTCGATGAAAGCTAATCGAGTTAGATGAGGATTCACACCTTTTGTAAGAGGTGCTTAAGCGTTTTATAAGCGCTAATGGGTATGCCAAGGCAGCTGCATGATGGAGTAGCTGAGCAGGAATTCAGTTACTCCATAACAAGAGAGTTGTCTTGGACTCTTCCTCTCTCTCTCTCTCTCTCTCTCTCTCTCTCTCTCTCTCAGATACTTGAAATGATATTAAATTATACATTTTTGTAGCGAAGGCAGCTGCATCCCAATCCATTAAACGTCCAAATCCATGCTCAGTGGCAGCAATGTCTCGGATTGCTGAGCTGGACAGCGCGCGACGAGCGTCTGGGATATGTTTCGGTGTCCGACATGCGGCTGCGTGTGCTGGGCACGTGTTTGAGGTATGTCGAGCATGGGCATGTTTATTACTCCAGATTGGAGAGCCCAAAGGTCGGAGGGGCGGACAGACAGTCATGCCGGCCCCTTGGGGTGTGACAGGTGAAATGCGTTTGAGTCGGACAGGCAAATGGATGCAACAGATGCAGCGACATTTATGAGATGAGCGTAGAAGGAAACAATTATGGGAGTGAAGAGGGGGGAGAGATGGAGGTGGAATGAGAGAAAGGATGGGAGAGAAGAGATAAAGAGAGAGAGATTGTAGGAAAAGGAGAGTGAGAGTGAGAGAGAAAGATACATAGATTGAGAGAGAGAGAGAAGGATGACAAAAGAAAGTGAGACGGACAGAAAGTGGGGAGAGATGGAGGTGGAATGAGAGAAAGGATGGGAGAGAAGAGATAAAGAGAGAGAGATTGTAGGAAAAGGAGAGTGAGAGTGAGAGAGAAAGATACATAGATTGAGAGAGAGAAGGATGACAAAAAAGAGAAGGAGAGAGAGTTATGGAAAACAAATTTAGACGGACAGAATGAAATAAAGAGAGACAGATATATAGCGAGTGTGTGCAAAAGAGATAGAGAAAAGAAAACAGGGAGGAGAGATGCTACGTAATATGTAAATATTTATTTCATTTGATGAAACAGCTCAAGAAGCTCCGTGCTTTTGTCTGTTTCCTGAAGGAGAAGAAGAAGAAGAAGAACAAAAACATCTGAAAAGCACATTTTAAATTAGGATTTTTGCATTTTTATACATTTTACAGAGTTGACTTAAGCACAGCATGCAAATTAACCACAGCAATTACACAAGAGCATACAAAATGTTAAGCCTCTGTTAAGATAAGTAGACCTGTTAACGCATCATAAACAGCACAAAGAAACGGTTAAGTTTCCCATGTTTCTTCGTCAGTTTTCCCAACTGAAATTGAAAATTGGTGACAGGCCAAACAAAAGCGAGCGCATACAATGTGCACTGCTTCGGGTTCGTTCGGGCAGGCACTGCGATTAGATAAATGGAAATGCCTTCGAATAGGGCCAGAAGCGTTGCCAGCTGAGCTGACTGGCTTACTGCAAGTAATGGGCCACTCGTGCTGGGCTTCGAGTGCATTCAAATGCGTACTCATCAAATCAAAAGCCAAAGTGCCAGCTCCCCAATTGCCACTGTAACTGTGCTGGTCAACTCCTTGTTAAACTTTTGGGACCTGAGCAGGAGCTGCGACTGGACACTCATAAAAAGTTGCCGTTGTTGTTCTTGTTGTTGTTGGCGTTGCCATTGCTGGAACGACTAATAACAGGCAGCGTTTAAGGAGCTGAGCTTTCATTTAATGCAATTGCTATTAAGTTCACTTGACGACACAACCAAAAACTCCACCCTGGAGTCAGTTCCAGTTCCAGTGCAAAGCCCCAACTCTGGCCTCTGTGTGTGTGTGTGTGTGTGTGTGTGTGTTGGGTGGGGGGGAGGAAAAGCAGCAGGTCGCCGGCTGGTATTTATTTTCATTTTGGAGCATTTATGGTTTTATCTCTTACGCTCCCACGCACCACTTCCGACGTTCTGTCAGACCATAGATGCCCTGTACTATATACAACTGAGCGGGGCGTATGAATTTCGCCAAATGAGGTGAATAAGCGGAAAATATTACTAAATATTTTTTGATCTGCTAATGAATCAATATTCAATGAATTTGTATGCCAAAGAAGTTATAAAAATCTTTAAATTTGAATGAAAAACGTAGTCTTCTTAAGTTTTTCATCCTAATTTAAAGATTTTCTTTGTTATTTTGTCATAATTTATCGATAACATCGATTTAGTATTCGATGTAAATTCATTGAATGATATGAATATATAAAAATATGTATTAGAAACATTTACATATAGATAAATATATCTGTCGATTGAGTATAAACAGATATGGAAGCGTTTATAAAATTATCGATTAATCGATTATATGCTAATATATCGATAAATACCAGAAAAAATCATATCACATATCACAAAAGCCTTATGAGTAAACATTTACAAATTGCTACAGGGTATCTACGAGCTGTTCATCTAACATGAAATCATGAAAACTCTATATTGATAATTTATGCCTTAAAAAAACAAGAAATAATGAATGAAAGCATGGACTAAATAAATTTTCAATTTCACTTAACTTCAAGCTTTCCTATAGGGTATCATAAGTCGTGCACATCACATAAACACATGCAAGCACACACCAATTCGATTCCCAGCTAAACTTTATCAACTATCTCCATCAATATATTTAGTTCCTACAGGGTATTTACTAGTTGGGCTGCTCATACATTATAATAAGTCTCCTTTGCCCTGGCGAATCTCTCTATCTGTGAGCTATACTCGACTCATGCTGACACTTTGTCGTTTTTATCGTTTCAGCGTTAATTCGGTTAAGCACTTAAAGCGACGTCAACGGCTGGCCGAAAAAAGAAAAAGAAACAAAGCAGACGACGCGGTAGGCGGGGCCCATGTGGCCCACAGGCGGCCAATGCGACGTCAATGCGTTGGCTACAACAACAATAGCAACAGCAACAACTTCAATAAGAAAAGCCAAGTCAAGTAACAAACGAGAACAAATTGCTTGGCCAAGTTACGTGCATAGTTCAATTGAAGGTGAAATCCACTAGCCAAAGCCGTGCGAGTCTGTTACTGAGTGGGAGTGAGAGAGAGCGTGGAGAGTAGTGTGTGAGCGAGAGAATAGCCTCGGCCAGCACCCGCATCAACATGTCCAGCAGCCATTCGGGCACAATTGGCCGTAAACGCGTTGGCAGCGGCAGCGCCATCGGCAGCGAATTTTACTACGGCAGCAGCATAAGTGGCTCGAACCCCGGCGGCGGCGGCGTCGGCATTAGCAGCTCGAATCCAGGCGGCGAGCAACAGCAGCTGAGGCGTCAACGTTCAGCCGAATGGCATAGCCATCGACATGGACACGGCTATGGCAGCAGCAGCGAGGATGAATATCAAAATACCGCCCAGGCAACGGCCTTTGATACGCAGCTGTTGGCTCAGCTGCTGCTGCAGAGTCAGCAATTGGCAAGTGAGTAGACCATATGCACACACACACACACACACATAGCAACACACTTATATGGGCAGAGCCGCAGCGCCACATCGTGGCTAAGTAAGCGATTTATAAGTCGCTCGAGCCAACTAAATATTCATTATTTTATTTAATTGAATTATTCAGTAGCCATCGGATCTAAGCCGCAAATGCCCAACAGAACTCGAGCCAAGGTCAAGCCAAAAGACACTCGATAATCGTATGGACTTGGCTATACCCTGTGCAGTACTTCGACTTGGAGTGGATCATCAAAAACAAATTCCATGCATAATTGAACTGAAATCCTTTTTTTTATATCCAACTCGAGGGCATTTGAGTTCCGTTTCATTTACTACTACGACTGCATTTACAGGGCATGCTCCAGTTGAGCCCACTCTGCCTGCTCCTGTTTTCGCTTCTGCTTTGTTAGTTTTTGTTTTGTTTTTGGGCTGAGCTTTGGCTCTGATTGGATTCAATTCGATTCGAGGCAACGTGACGCAACGCATTGGGATTTGAATTGCATTGATGGATTTTTGGGATTTGGGTTTCGTCTCTGGGTTAAAGCAACTTTTTTTGTTCTTGTCATACCCTGTACTTGGCAGGCTCGTGCCATAAAAACAGATTTAGCTGAGAACGGTGACCAAATATTGAATTGAACTTGCTCAGTGCTAAGTGAACTGCTTAGTTTATGCTCCCACGCTGTGTTCAATTATTCAAATAATACAAAATTCCCTATGATATCTATAAGTTCCATTAATTCCTAACTCTTTGCTATAGTTCAAATGAAATTCGAGAAATTAAATCTAAATTTATATTAGCTCCATTTCGATTTGCTAATAAATATATGAAAATCGTTAATTCTTAACATTTTGCACAAGCAAATTTCTGGCTTAATGAAAATTCTTGCGCAATCTCAACTCTTTGCGCGTGCGAAAATTGCAAATTTGATATTGAATATTCCATAAAAGCTGCGATTAATTTGCGTTTCAAGTGCGCTGGTGCTGCGAAAGATTGACTAACTGAAAGTGAAGCTTCAATTCAATTACAAAGGCTGCTGAAATGGCGGAGATGGCGCACGGGGAATGGGGAATACGAATTGGGGATGGGGACTCTTTTGGTCTGAGTGTAATCGAGGGCCAGCTGAGGGTCTCGCAAAGAGCGCCTAATCGAAGCATAAAACGCAAATCGGCGTCTGTTGCGCGATTTTTATGTTCGTAATGCATATTGCGTTTTGTTGTTGTTCACGTTGTCCGTGTGTCTGTGTCTGTGTGTGTGTGTGTGTGTTGCTTTTTATTGTCTGTTAATATTTAATGCAATTTACGATTCATTTTTTACAACCTCATAACATTGGGTGCCCCCACGGCCGACTGGGGAGCGATTGTTGCTCTTTACACAGAGGACCATGTCTACAGGGGTCGTCAGCGATGATGGCATTGATGGAGGGGGAGCGAAGGGGCGGAAGCGTGCCAATGTCTAAATCTGTAACGACAAACTCTTGAGAGAGCATATTGAGAGCTACATCACCAACAACTACATTTTGAAGGTTATGCTGAAGATTTTTAATAGATGCTTCATTGAGCTGTTAAATGAAACTCATTTAAGTGGAATGGCATGCGCACTCGCAGTGCGTAAAGTATATTGCCTGAAACATTGTTGGGATCAAGGCAAAAATGCATATGTGTATGTAAAATTGCATCTGGCAACACTGCTTTCAAAGCAACTCTGAACCACAGAGTCGCAGGAAAATCTACAATCGAAGCAGGCTTCCATTTGCTATAAAAGGCCGTGTTCTCAGTGAGAGGCTCAGTCTGGCTCTGTGGCTCGCCCAGAGCAGACTCAATTTATATTAACAATTTTTGTTGGCCATTGTTAATATAT